TACAGAGTCCTGATGACTCCTAACTTGTGCTCCAAAGGGTGATGGGAGTCAAACTGCAAATACTGGTCTGTGTGGGTGGGTTTGCGGTACACCTCAGTTTGCAAATGTCCTCTATCAGAGACCGAGACCTCACAGTCCAAGAAAGCCAACCTGCCATTTTTTACATCTTCTCGTGTGAACTTGATGTATTTATCCACAGAGTTGATGTGGTCAGTAAAATGTTGGACTTCCTGAGATTTAATTTTAACCCAGGTGTCGTCATCATACCTGAACCAATGACTTGGTGGTGTCCCTGAAAAGGACGTCAAGGCTCTCTTTTCTACCTCCTCCATGTACAGGTTGGCAACAATAGGAGAAACTGGAGACCCCATAGCACACCCATGTTTCTGCCTATAATATTGCTCCCCATATGTGAAGTAGGTTGACTGCAGGCACAGTTTCAAGAGTTGACACAGTTGTTCTGTGGAAAGCGTGGTCCTGCTGCTCAGAGTGGTGTCTGATTTTAATTTTAAACTGACCACTTCTACTGCATCATCAACAGGAATGCACGTAAAGAGTGATGTGACATCAAAAGAGACCATTGTTTCATCAGTCTCCATGATGACATCCCTCACCTTATCCACAAAGTCCATGGTGTTCTGTATGTGGTGTTCTGAGCTGCCAACTAAAGGGATGAGTACAGACGCCAGATATTTGGAAACATTGTAAGTGACAGAGTTAATCATGCTAACGATTGGTCTTAAAGGTACACCTTGTTTGTGGATTTTAGGTAAACCATACAGACTAGGTGTGGCTTCCCCTGGGTACAGTCTGTGGTACAGAAAACGGTCAATAGCCTTGTCCTGCTCCAAAATTTTCAGGCAATCTATTAACTTTTTCTTGTAACCACTTCCTGGATCTCTTTTCAGATGTTCATAAGTGTTTAAGTCACTAAGGAGTGTCATAACTTTCTCATGATAGTCTTTCTGGTTCAAAATCACTGTGCACCTTCGGGAGTATCAGAAAAACTGAGACGTTTATTTTCTAAACATAACGTCCCAGTGGCTTTTAAACCCCAAAATACATTACGGCAAAGACTGGTTCATCCCAAAGATCCAGTCCCCCGGCACAAACAGAGTAATGTTGTGTATGTTGTTCAGTGTCAGGAGGGCTGTGATCAGTCTTACATCGGGGAAACAAAACAGCCACTGGCCAAAAGGATGGCCCAGCACAGAAGATCAACATCATCAGGCCAGGACTCTGCGGTCTACACTCATCTCCAGGCCAGCGGTCACTCTTTCAGGGATGAAGATGTTCACATCCTGGACAGAGAGGAACGATGGTTTGAGAGAGGAGTAAAGGAGGCCATCTTTGTGAAAAGAAATCGTCCATCATTAAACAGGGGTGGAGGCCTCCGGGTTCAACTGTCCCTCTCTTACAATGCTGTGATTGCTAGGTATCACTCAGCCTCCTGTGAATAGTAAACAGCCATCAGTGTGCTAATGATCCATTGTTAGGCTGATGGTCCTTCTTGAGCATGTGATCAGCTGGTTTTGGTTGTCAGCAGCAAAACTGGTTGATCCACTCTGAGAAGGTGCTATTTAAGAGACTGAGCTGAAAACAGCACCTCAGACTGAGGAAGTCTCTCGGATGAGAGACGAAACGTTTCTACATTTTTTGTTGATTTGCTTTGTTTTTTTTTTATTTTTTATTTTTGAACGTCCAGAGGACCAGATTTAACTT